TTCCAGCCAAATGAATAAATGTAGTTTCCTGAATACACCATAATATCTCTTACCTCTAACAACGTATCTTCTACCCAGAATGTTCTTTCCTTAACCACCATGTTCATCCACATACCCATTGCCAGGCTGACTTCTACTTCAGGCCTCAGTTTACATACATATCACTTCCTGAACTTCACGACTGATTTAGGTATCCCTCCTCAGAGTACCTCAGGATACATCCTTATGTATCCCCTTAAGTATAATATTATCCTTACATTATGCTTATTATTGACTATGAACATCCTTGAGAACCAGAATATAGTTGCCCACTGTATTCCTAGTAACCAGTACAGTCTCTGACATGCTATAAATACTAAATATAACTGAATGACTGTTCAGGGGCAAGGAAAGAATCTCCAGCCTAAATCCATATTCCATCTCAAGGAATCCAGCAGCTAGAAAAGTACATCAGCCATATATTCAAGTGTTTTCCATGTGTGCGCCTATGAGCAAAGTATTCTAAGATATGAATGGAAATGGTAGTTCTGATTAGCTAAAAGTATGTGTTATGAATGATGATAAGTAAACTGATAGATAGCCTAGATAAAAGAATGAAGGTCCAGAAACCAGATATCCTCCTAAATAATTCTATTAGTGAATAAAATAGGTTGGATCCTTTACAATTACTAAAAAATGCATAGGTATCTTATGTTTTGTTGAGTCAACTAAACAATAATTCTCTAAGAGTTTATTACTAACCTTTTACGTAGCATCAATCCATACTTTTTCCACTACAAAAACTGTATTGATAGCTAACTTTTAAATGATTCTTCTAAATTAGAGAGTAAAATAGATATATCAAGAATGAGGATATTTTTCCTTACAAATCAATTTATGATAGATTCTCTTGAAATAGCAGTATCATCTCACAATCATTGTTGTTTACTTAAAATTTATAGCCTACTATTTCTGACAGAACGATGGACAAAATAAGGAATGTAATACAGCAGTGACCTTCTAAAAGACACAAAGGTAGAAAAAGCTTATGGCCATCAGGGATGGAAGAGTTACCAGTTAGACACCAAATCTGTACTAAGTTTACCGACGGCTAAGGTAAAATAAGAATTGTTAAATAAACATTAAATAGGTATGTTAAATAAATAAATAAATAAAACACTGAATAAGAAGCTGAGGTAAAACAGACTTTTCCACCAGGAAATATAAATTTATCTGCAGAAAACAACTTTTTTCTTAAAATTAAATTTAAGTGAACACTGCATGAATTATTTTATGACTAACAAG